TAAATAAATAAATAAATAAATAAATAAATAAATAAATAAATAAATAAGCTTTATAGCAGCAAAGTGATCACATCAACAGAGGGAATCGAAGCTCTGCGTCAAGTTTAGCAGACATAAACTGACAGGAAACTCACTGTAACCTTCTTCAATGTAAGACAAGTTGCAACTTGATTCTTTCTCTCCTTTTATTTGAACTTTGGACAGTAGATCCCATTGTGTATCTCACAATGATTTGGCAGAAGGCATTCTCCACTGAACCAACCAAAAAGAGCAAAGCATATTGTGCCGTTACCACCCTGATTGCCACGTGTAACTGATCAATGTGTCCTTGTAATTTTTCTCATTTGCCAGAAGCATGACCAAACAACTCTTTGACTGACCTGTCCAGAGCACATTATCCCAAAAGGTTTGACATCCATTTATTTACATACTAAATTTCATTTTTGTCTTTTATTTAGAGAAAATACTTTTATTGGCTTTTGTCCTGTGCTGGAGAAATCTTTCGTTTTGATTGTGCAAAGCATGCTTTTTATAATTATGAAAATTTAATTTAAATTCTGATGGGTTTTTTTTTTACTTAAAGAAAAATCCCAAACAATTGTTAGAGTTTCAAAAATCTTTGAGGAAACTTTGTGGATTTTGGAAAGCATGCTTAAAAAAAAACACTAAACAACTGTTACATTTTGAAGAATGTTTGAGGAGACGGTGGATTTTGGAGACAATTGTTCTAAATCAACACCATTTGTGTATAATTTTTCCTGACCTGGAATATAAACAACCTGGATCGCTTAATTTAGTGTCAGACTTAAAAACAAACACGACATTGTTTCGGAGTGACGTTACAGAGCTCTGCGAGACGTGAATCTTGAAAACGAAAATAGGAAGAAGAAAAAAAACGTTTATTTTGAAAGGCTCGAGCGGAAGTCGTGTATTCCTGGGTCCAGCTTGACGCTGGTGAGTAAACATGTTGGCTGCGGCTCTCCGCGCTGATGTTCCGGCGTGCTGTGCCGCGTCCGTCCACCTCACAGCGGCCGCGTAGGCTCCCTCTCCGGTCCACTCCGGTCCACTCCACTGCCCGCTCCGCGTGGACAGGACCCGCCGCTGTACCCCGGCCTGTACCCGGCCCAGTCCAGCCCGGCTTCCCGGCCGGCTCGGCGCGTGGATGCTCGCGCGCGATGGCAGGGCATTTGGGGGAGCCTTTGTCGCACGCGAACAACAGGTCGCATGGATAATCCCCGGAAACACCCACCCCCCACCCACACCCACCACCACCGTCTCGTGTTTCGGGTGATGTGGGGAGCCGGACATCACCTCCGGGCTGTCCACTGAGGGGGCACGCGGCGTGGAGCAGGTGCGTGGACAGGGGGGAGAGATTTGATTTCGATCGTTTCACGTCTCCAATAATGTTGCATAATCAGATGGGTCTTGGTGAATGGTTATTTTACTGTGACATCTGAGGCCAACCCAGGAGACGTTCGTGTATGTGTGTGTGTGTGTGTGTGTGCGTGTGTGTGGTCACACACTGACGCACTCCAACATGGTGGTGGGTTGAGAAATTGGCCAAAACTCACATACTAGCCATTTTTGCGTGTTTCCTGTTGCAGTTTAGAGGCTGCTGGTGAGTCCAGATGCGCTCTGACTGGCTCTGAC